AACGCAGACGCATCGCCAACCTTCCCCGTCCACCGCAAGGTGGGGGAGGTCTCTAGCAAGGAGACTTGGGGCTGAAGGTTGATCTGATGCGTAGCGTACTGAACCGCAAACGGCCATAGGAAATGGAAGCAGCCGCATGGATCATGGACGTACGAGCAACGTTCATGACCATACCAATGCGGCGCTCAGCAATCCCATTTTGCTGCGGAGAGGCCGGAAGCGTGAACGTTTGGCAGATGCCGTGTGCACGACAGAAGGCTGCTAGAAGGCCAGAGGAAAACTCCCCGCCTCTGTCAGAGTGCAGACGCAGAACACGAAAGTTCGAGCCGAAACTCTCTCTGAGCTGGAGACGAGCTGCGCGGATCCAGTCGATCAACACCTCAGTGACGTCACCCTTGCTGCGCAAGGGGAACACCGTGGTGTAACGCGAGTAGTCGTCAACCACCAACAGGAAGTAACGCTCGTGACCCTGGCCACGGACGCGGGCAGGGCCCCACACGTTCATGTGAAGAGACTACAGCGGAGCCTCCGTCGGAAGAAACTCGGAGGAGTGAGGAGCGGCGCGCTGCCGCCCCTCGACGCAGGGAACGCAGGTAGGGGCTGGAGGGAGGGGAAGGAGGGACCAGGCAAGACCAGAGATAAGGTAACAAGAGGCCACGCCTCGGAGACAAGGCAGGGAGGGGTGACCAAGGCGGTGGTGCCAAAGGAGAGTCCGGTGGGATAGGAGACGACACAAGCAGGGAGCAAACTCAGGACCAGTCTCGGATGCTGCACCAAACACCTGACCCAACCCAGCTATCTGACAAGACTCAGCTACCGGAGGAGACTCAGTAGTCAGTGTGTACAGGCTCGACCCCGGCTGACAGGTAAACGTGGCCAAGTGTCGGCCCGTCCGAGCACACGTACAGTGGGTCACCCGCTGACTCGCAGGAGTGAACCGGTCAACCCCCCCATCCTGTAGATCAGCACAACTCAGCAAGTTCGTAGAGAACAAGGGGAGGTAGAGACCTGACAGGGTGCCCGAGGGGGCCGCCGGATACGGTAAGACAGTGGAGAAGTCGGCAAGGACAGGACCCCTAGAGGGGTTCGCCAGGGAGACCGCAACCGGCCGACTAAGCGGCGTGAGCGTGGTGCGGTCTCGGAAGAAAGAGCAGGAAGCATCCGAGTCAAAGGTGAAAGTGTGTAAGCCCTGAGCCGACGTGGTACTTGAGAGAGCAGACTCACCCGTACCTGGGGCAGAAGACACAATAGCGCCTAGAGCAGCAGCCTCACCAGCACCTAGAGCAGCAGCCTCAATGCCCGGGTCAGGCGGAACACACAGGTAACAGTCACCCTCATCACTAGTAGACACAACATACATGGCAGCAAGAATAGCATCATAATCCAGATCAAAGATAGCAACCCCCGACCTAAGCAGCTTGCCCCAGCGGGGGATCTTAGTGGCATCAGAGAACTGGAGACGCCACGCGTCCGTCAGGCGGCCGAAGCAGCGCTGGGTGGTGTGCGGGCCACCGCACGGCTCACCAGTGCGGTCGCCGGTACGCACGGCTAAGAGCAGCAGTGGCAGGGGAAGAGTAGCGTGCAGTGACAGCGTCGTACAAGGTCTTATTACTCTTGTACTGACTAAAGTGCGTGCGCTCAGAGGACGGCAAGTAACTACGCACAGCAAGACGGGCAGCAGCATCGCGTGTGGCCCACTGTGAGCGAACAGTGCTTTCAGCATCAGCAGCAGGGGCAGTAGAGGTGCCAGACGTGAGATCAAACAGTGAGAGACCGTCTTTCCTATCGCACTGTAGGAAAAGCTGTAGATCATCGACTCAGACCTCAAAGTTAACAGCCTGACCCTCAGCATCAAAGACGAGAACGCTAGGGGTAGCCATGACAGCATTAGCAGCAGGCTAGGGGCAGCAGCAGCAGTGGCAGTAGTAGGGGGCGCAGTTCGGCGATGCTCTTACCAGGGCAGAGGGTCGCAAGTGGTGGGGCAAGGCTGAGGCGCACCGGCAGGGACGGGCCGAGGCGCGCCGGCAGGGCCGAGGCGCGCCGGCAGGGTCGGGCCGAGGCGCGTCGGCACGGACAGGCCGAGGCGCACTGGCAGGGCCGAGGCGCACCGGCGGCTGCAGTCTGCGGCAGCGGCGGTTGCAGCCCCGGTCGTGGTGGCGGCGGCTGCGGCCCCGGGAGCGACGGCAGTGGCTGCTACTGGCGGCAGCACCGGTGGCGGCGGCTCCCGCTGCAGGGGCGGCAACTGCTGCTGCTGCAACGGCGGCGACGGCTGCTGCTCCAGGGGCGGCGACGGTGAGGTGGCGGGTCCGTGATGGAGCTGAGAAGGGGCCGCGAAGGAGCCGGGAGGGGCCGCGAAGGGTGGCGACAAGGCCGAGAAGGGGCCTGATGAGGCCGCGAAGGGCGGCGACGGGGCCGTAAGGGGCGGCGACAGGGCCGAGACGGGGCCGAGATGGGGCCGTGAGGGGCCGTGAAGGGCGGCGAAGGGGCCTGAGGGGCCGCAAAGGTGGCGGCGGGGCCGCGAAGGGCGGCGACGGGGCCGTGAAGGGCGGCGACAGGGCCGCGAAGGGCGGCGACGGGGCCGCGGAGGGGCCGCAAGGGGCCGCGAAGGGGCCGCGAGGGGCCGTAAGGGGACGCGAAGGGCCGTGAGAGGGGTTGCGAAGGGCGGCAGAGTGCCGTGAGAGGGGCCGCGAAGGGGCCGCGAGGGGCCGCAAGGGGCCGCGAAGGGCCGTGAGAGGGGCCGCGAAGGGCGGCGGAGGGGCCGCAAGGGAGCCGCGAAGGGCCGTGAGAGGGGCCGCGAGGGGCTTTAGGAGGGCGCGACGGGCCGCTAGGGGCTGGGGACACGACGGGAGGGAGGGCACACGGGGCGCGACTCGGGCAGGAGCGAAGCGCGCCCCGGGCAGGTAAAAAAAAAAATCGATTTTGAGTGGTGGGCCCTAGGAAACGTTCCCCCTAGGGAACCTGCTCGATACCATGTGAAGATTACAAGGAATGAATGACTAAGGAATGAGTGTGATACAAATATGAAACCCTAGAATTGTGTACCCCTTAGTGTCTAACCCGCTACAGCCTATACAGACTAGATCATATAAGTCTGACACAATTCGAAGTGCACCCCCCTAAACGCACATGCGCTTATATCCGAGGTGATACAGTGTCTCCCGGTACCGTATTACCCCGGACATACCACCCTAGGGTGCTATGATAACTACACAAAAAAAGGGGGGGGGTCTTGTCATCGGAAAAAGCTACATTGCACCCGGGTCGTTACATAATGTATATTTTTTTTAGAGCACAAAAGGTTGAGAACAAAATGTACGTGTTTGACGCGGTGGTAGATTGTTGGTTGGGTGCGCAAAACCGAGGACTGGGCGATAACGTTAGTCTCGTGGGTTAGCTGCCACATTGCAAGCTCCAACAAGGCCCACAGTCAGGCCCTGATTGGAAAGAAGACACACCCCCCAGGGCTGACGTTTCATTTCGGGCCCCCCTGATTTCGGGAAAACAATTCTCCCTGGATTATGAGGGCACATATTTCGTAGGTTTGCTACTCTGATTGGTCAGTGTCCAACAACGACTTACTCAGAGTTGTCAGGGTTCAGAGCAACAAATCAGTGTTGCAGCCAATCACGCAAATTTCTCCCATTTCCCTCCCACGCCTCACTTCCCTGGCCGGTCGAAATCAAACAGAACACACAACCAAGCTGGCAGTCGTGATTTTACTGTACTGAAGTCACACAAACTGTTGGGTCAGATCACGGTTCTTCTGAAGTTCGCCTGCCACAAAATCTGGACAAGTGTACGCGAAAGTACACGTCAGTGTGACTTGGCACCACACAGCCACGAATATCGCCCACAATGTGCCACCCAAAGTACAGTGCACGTTCGCCGTCAACCGCAGTGTATATTTGCAAAAACTGCAATATTACCCGTACATAACACCCACCCCCCCGGGTGCTATATCAGATCGCCCCAAAAGGGGGGTATAGTAGAAATGAGGCTCGCTATAGCACCCCCCCCCGCACAAGCCACCCGGGGGGTGCTCTATTTCGGCGGGTGGTATGTCCAGGGTAATACGGTATTGCTTTAGGAGGCAAAAAATGTGACAATGACACGAGCTTCAAACTTCACTGCGACAACCAACACTCGACTTGGTTCACAAGCAAACCCGGTTTCGTCAACCTCACCAAACACATACCCGTAATCCCCCGTATATAGGACCCCCCCCAGTTGTAGACCCCCGGGTCTATAATACAGACCCGGGTACTCTATTCGAGTACATCTGAGTTGTACCCCCCTAAATGACTCCTAACATTATAAGACCCCCCCACACCCTAGAGAATTGCGGATTTTACAAAAATGCAATTGAAAATGGTCATATTCCATGCAGCCCGCACGAAGCGTGTATGGGGTGTGAAGGCCGAGGCCATCAAACGGTGCCCTGCACTGTCATGTGAACACCAAGTGGTGTGGTGGCCAATGGGAGGAGGCTCCCAGATAGGATTCGTGATGACGTGGGTTCGGCCCGTGTGGAGACCACTTCGAGTATTTTCGGGAGGAGCTAAAAACGGAGCAATACCAAATCACTTCTTTGAGCTCCAAAACTACATTCTTATAAATGTCAATATGAACAGACCTGGGTCTTTTAAATTATACCCCCCAGCCTTTTTAGGGATGATTATCATAAGACCCTAGGGTCTTATATACGGGGGATTGCGGTAACGCTCCAGTACTTTGTCAAGCGTGTGTGTGTGCGTGCGTGCGTGCGTGTGTGTGTGTGTGTGTGTGTGTGTGTGTATGTGTGTGTATATGTGAATACGTGTGTGTGGCACAAAGTGCCACAAGCACAGTTTCGTCAGAGACGAAGTCTAACAGCCAATGCATGTAAAATTATATAACACCACCTCATTTGCAACACATCCTCGTACAAATGTACCCTGACTGATCTAGTGAAGACAGATTGCTGTACAATAAACGTGGTTTAGAATGGATGCTGCTTTGGGTCAATATCCTTCTGAAAATCGATGCTGCATCCAACTTCCTAGCACACGGAACCTGGAACCAAGGCCATTGGAGGAGCTGCCAATCTGATTGATGCTACTGTGCCCTACAGTCCCACCAGAGAGATCTGTAGACTGGCTGGATTGGCTCCCCAAGGTTGAAAGCTTCTCCACTAACTCGCACGGCTCCTTGTTTGGGTAGAACTGGTCAATGAGGGCGCTGAGGGAGTGAGCCACCGCCTTCATGTCGGGCCGCCGTGTGCCGGGCATCTTGACGCAGTCCAGAGCGAGATCGGCAAAGGCCACTATGGCCTCCTCGCTCGCGTCTAGCTTGCTGTCCTTGAGCTCATCCAGCGCATATGCCTCAACTTTCTGGACTGCCTGCGGTGAATGGACGCACCACAATGGCATGAGGGGGAATATGTATTTGCTCCATTGCAGAGAATGATTGATATCGTGATTCCTTGTCTGCAATGCCGTACCCAATCTCAGTTGTGTGACTCATAGCGAATCGGCGTCGAGCTAGTTAGCAGCTCCAGAAGCACGATGCCAAAGCTGCCGGCAGGCAAGAAGCAGAAAAACACACACAATCTTTGACACAGGTTAGAAGATATTCATGGAGCAATTGCAAGTAAAAATAAGGCAGGGATGTTCAGAAGCAATCCAACCTGAAGACGTCGCTCTTGGTGGTGACCACGCGTGTGCGGTTGTAATCAGGGTCCACATAGCCGGGAGTGCCTGCCACTCTGGTGGCATCGCCCTTGCAGTGAGTAAGGCGCTTGAGCAGCCCAAAGTCAGCCACCTTGGCGTGCATGTCGGCCGTCACGAGGATGTTGGCGGGCTTGATGTCGCGGTGGATGATGGGCGTTTCGAACCCATGCAGGTATGCCAGCCCCTCCGCTGCTCCTTGCGCCAGGCGCAGTCGCTGCCGCAGCGAGAGAGGGTCTGGATGAGAGAGCATAGAAGGACGTGCAAAGAGAGAGTTCAGAGGTGCATGGAGAGATGCTTCAGATCCTGAGATGCATAAGAAGTGTGTGGTGTGTGTACGTGTGAGTGAGTGAGTGTGAGGGTGCGTGTGTGTGTGCTATTCTCTCCTGCCAAGTTTGAGAAACCATGTAACTCATGGTTTATGCATAGAAGATATAACTCACTCTTGGTCTTGAAAATGTGGTACTGCAAGTCTCTGTTAGCCACAAACTCATAAACCAAGATCTGCTCCTGATTGCCCGTCTCCACATTCTGATCCACACCGAAGCCCAGCAGCCGCACCAGATTCACGTGGTTGAGTGTCGCCATGGCCCGCACCTGCAGGAGATTCATTCAGAGGGCGAAAGAGGAGAGATAGGATTAGATCCTGAATATGCTTGGTCCACCTCCAGGTGATGAATTCAGAGGGTGAAAGAGGAGAGTTTTAGGTCCTAAACATGCCCAATCAACGTATGCTGCTAGGGGTGGATTTGCTCCTTGCTGTGTGAGGATGTCGCACTAGCAGAGCATGTCGCAGCTGCTCCCAGCCTGGGCCTCACCTCTTTCTCAAAGTTGTTGGTCATCACAGTGGATCGCTTGATGGCCCACAGCTGCCCCTGCAGCGAGTGCCCCTTGTACACGATGCCAAAGCCGCCCCTTCCCACCTCGTTCTCCTTGGCCCAGTTGTCCGTGGCCTTCACCATCTGGTGTAGCGTGTACTGCTCACACACTTCCAGCCCCTGCCACTTCCCTGCATGTATACACACAACACACACATGTTGAAGCATGGGGCGAGTGTGAGGTGGTGGGAGAGATAGGAGTGAACGAATGGAGGCAGGGATGCAGCAGTGGAAGAGGAGTGCAGGAGTGCATGAGGGACATGGCGTGAGTGCGAGGTTGGCGGTCTCACTTTGTCCACGGGGCCACAGTAGGCATGAGAGCACAGCAGCCAGCAGATCGAAGCCAGCAAAGCAGCCCACAGCGATACCCACTATGGCGCCCGTGGAGAGCAAGGACACTGCCAAGGGGTGGTTACGAAGAAAAATAAAGCACGAGGACAGGGTTGAATCAGGTTGTGCTGGTAGCGCAATATGAATCTGGAACTAACCTCACCCTACTTTTCAACAATGCTGAAGGGGGCAAACAAAAACCTGTGGAGATTCATTTACTTTTCCCACTGTTTGGATGACTTGATTACGCTACCCACTTAAGGCTACACCCAGCTCAAAACATAAAAAGAAAACCAGCGAGCCTTCCAAGAGAAAGCTTGGAAGCAAAAATTCCGCATTGCGACAATTTCAACCTTTCCAGTAGGTGGGGGAAGAAACAGCAACCAACAGGGTGCAAAACACCCTTCAATGCACAACAAGTAAAGAAGATGACATTATGACGAGATGGCCGTCCACACGCAACAGGAACAAGAGAGAGCATGAGAAAGGATCGGGGGAGTGGGTGATGTAAGCCTGCAGTAGGATTGCATGAGCATGTTGACAACAGGTTCACCAAAACAATGTCTAACTGCAGTGCCGGTTCGCAAAGTGTAAAAACAGCGTTACTGCGCATGTGGACCCAGGCTCAACAGTGGTCATTCTAGAGTTGACCATGGCGCAGGCAGAGCCACTAGCTTAGTTGGTCCACTGTCCATTCTAGTATTTGGGTTTTGCCTCATCTCTCTCTTTGGCGCCTACCTTTGCTGCTCACTTGAGCTAATACAGCTTCTACTCTGAACTTCTCCCCTAGCTGCTTGAGGATTTCTTCACTCACCAGTGGTGGTGGAGGAGTTGAAAACGGCGCAGGTGGAGCCTGTTGTGCAGCAAATATGTCCCGGAGGGTAGATTCTCACCTGTGGTCTTAGAGGTTGTGGGTTCAATTCTCAGTAGCTGCAGGTTCCCTTCTCATTATGCTCCACATTACATGTCCACACTCTACCACACTCCACCACAGTAAAGTGTAGTCACAGCTGGCATTGCCACCTGTCCACTCATCCCACACTCACCTTGCTGGCCTCTATGGTGTGCCATATGCTGTCATGTGGGCTGTTGTTCCAGCCTGGCCCACATGTGCAACATGTGGCCTCAATTGCTAGCTTGGCAAGGTTGGCTAGCCTAGCCCTCAGCATTGAGGTGCTGCAGCTAGCCTCAAGAGTTCAGCCACATATATGTGGCTTCCCACTTCACTAGGGATTATCCTTGACAAGGACCTTGCTCTAGTCTTTAAGACTTGTACCATTTTCTTGCTAAGGAGATTTCTTCTTCCTATCGTGCCCTAAGTTCACCGATCCACTTTCTTCATGGTATCAGAGCTAGGCTTCTAGCTTTGTGAACGTCGCACACTTGATGGCTCAAGTTGAGACGCCTCTCAGTCGGCACACCCTTCCTATCTTGGAACCGGATGGTTCCAACTTCATTCCATGGAAGAAAAAGATATGCTACATCTTTAATGTCCTTGGGCTGATCTCCTTTCTTGGAGATCCCAAGGTTGCTTCCTGCCCTTCCATTTCCTCCTCCACAACCAGCAGTGGAGATGCTACTGAAGGCAACAATGGTGCAGCCCCTAAAACAGCCCACTCGATTGCGTCGCTGCCGGATGAAGAAAAAGAGGAGCATGCGTACTATCTTCTCATGTCAGCCGTCCATCCTCAGCTCTCGCTCACACTTGCTCAAGCCAACACGACGAAGGACATGTGGGGATGCATCATGGCGGTTTGATTGCATGGGTAACCATGCACAAGTGGCTCTCCTCCGAGATCTCATCACTACACGGATGGACCCAACAATGAGTCTTCGCTCCTACTTCGATCGAGTTGGAAATCTTACGCACCAACTCAAATCTGCCGGCTTCGAGTTACCATCTTGGGTGGTGGTAATCTCCATCATTCTTAATCTGCCGGACTCCTTCAAGACTCTCACAGAAACTATTTGCACCGTGAAAGACATCAAGTCTATAACGGTTGAATACCTGCAGTCACGTCTACTCGATGCCGATTGGGAGCGGTCACAATCTGGTACAAGCCGCAACATGGAAGGTGCATACAACCTCCATTCCCAGCCCTCCCACCCTATTCGCTCCGGTTCCTGCCAGTCCCCTACTTGCCGCTACTGCAAGAAAACCAGACACACTATTGACGAATGCTTCAAGTTGAAGAAGAAGAAGAAAGAGATCGAAGAAAGCTCTCGACGGGAGAAATCTGTCATCCAGCCTTCGGTGCATGTGTCAACAAGCTCCTCCGCCGACATCCCTTCGACCTCCACAACACCTACTGCCCCATCAGCCTCTCAGTCCGTACCTGATTCCCGGTACGTTGACATTGCTTTCAGCACCAGCCACGGCTCCATCCTCCCCACCTGGACTCCTCTCGTCGCTACTCTCTTCATCTTCACCATCCTCCTCCTCCTCCTCCTCCTCCTCCTCCTCCTCCTCCTCCTCCTCCTCCTCCTCCTCCTCCTCCTCCTCCTCCTCCTCCTCCTCCTCCTCTTCCCTTATGGTGCTCCCTATGCATCGGCATTCACGACCTCTTCATCAAACCTGGTCCGGACGTCTTCCTGGCTGGTGGACAGCGGCGCATCTTCCCATATCTGCTCCGATCGCTCGCTGTTTTCATCTCTCCAGCAGCCAACTGATGATATTATCGTTCGCTTTGGTGGCGGAGAGACTTACAAGGTCTTGGGAGCCGGCATGGTGGTGGCTACTCTTTGTTCCCAAACCTCGGAAACCACCATCCAGCTAGACAACGTTCTGTTTCTCCCTTCATCGATTCACAATCTGCTCTCAGTTCGTGCACTTGGAGCTCCCGGCATTGCCGTTTCCTTCCCCATTGCTGGGCGGGTTGAGCTCAAGACTGATGAGGCTCTTATTGGCGAGGGCTTTACCCGCAACAATCTGTTCTATCTTCAGCTGCATCATGGAAAGAGTGCCGCCCCCCCCATCAACCCATCGGCATGTCCAGTCTCCACCACCTCCTCCTCATACCTTTGGCAACGCCGTTTCGGGCATCTTAACATGCGGGACTTGTCAACACTTCATCGGCAGCAGCTGGTCTCCGGTCTTAACCTCTCCTCCTCAATTCCTCAATGCATCTCATGCTATCGTGGGAAACAAACGCGTCAACCATTTGGTGTGTCCCATTCTCGCACCACCGCACCGCTCCAACTCATTCATTCGGATATTGCTGGACCCTTTTCATATGGAACTACCATTGGAGGCGCTCGCTACCTTCTCACCTTCATCGACGACTATTCCCGCCACATTACCGTGTATCTACTACGCCATCGTTTAGAGGCATTGTCGTGCTTCAAAGCGTACGTCACTCGGGTGCACAATATGCATTCCCCAAGGACCATCAAAGCGTTTCGCTCCAATGGTGCCTTGGAGTTCAATTCCGAGGCCTTCACTTCATTCCTTAATGCTCATGGCATCGCTCGACACCGCTCTACGCCATACACACCCGAACAAAATGGAGTTGCTGAACGCGCCAATCGGACTATACTTGAGATGGTCCGTTCCATGCTTCATGACGCACACATGGACAGAGGATGGTGGGGTGAAGCCGCTCTCATTGCTGTCTATCTCCGAAATCATGCTATTAGTCGGGGTGGTTCAGCTTCCAAGACTCCCATAGAACTATGGACCGGTGCACGTCCGGACGTATCCCACCTCCGCATCTTCGGTTCACCCGTTTCAGTCCTCATTCCTCCGCAACGCCGCTCCAAACTCGACAACCGAAGCACGGCCGGCGTCATGGTTGGGTATGGTCATCTTGACGGCACCAAAGCTTATCGCATCTATATCCCAACTCAGCACCGTGTCACACTTTCTCGTGATGTCATCTTCATGGAGCCCTCTTCGCCACCTTCGGATGACCCTCGAGAACCTCCATCGTCATCTCCACCACCCATATCATCCTCTCCGCCTCCTCCTCCACCCCCTTCCCTCTCAGACCCAACCTCCCCTCCCTCTCGTTCACCTCCCATGACCTCTTCCACCACCCTCCTCCCCCCATCTCCAAATCTGCCAGCACCAGCAACCTCTTCTCCTCCTCCTTTGTTTTCCAATCTTCCTCTGCCCTTGACGCCGCAAGTCTTCCACCTTCCATCCCTCTCCTCTCCTTCTTCAGCTCGTCCTTCCCCTTGCACCTCTAGTTCCTCACCACCATCCCCTTCAGCTCCTTCCAATCCTTCACTTTTCTCACTGCTCAAGGTCCTACCCTCTCCTTCTGAACCCATTGACTTCACCCTTCCTCCTCTTTCCAAGCCCTCTGCTAATGCCGCCCTTCATCATCATTATGAACCTGAAAACATTCATGAGGCCCGCACCGGCCCTGATGCTGCTGAATGGATCAAGGCTGCTGGTGCGGAACTCGCTGCCCTGCACGCTAATGACACTTACAGCGTTGTTCCTCGACCACCCAAGTGCAAACCGATTCCATGCAAATGGATTTTTAAGGTCAAGGAGCATGCTGATGGTTCTATTGAACGCCGCAAGGCCCGCCTTGTTGTCAAAGGTTTCAAACAACGCGACGGTGTTGATTTCCATGACACCTTTGCTCCTACCGTTCGCTTCGCCACCCTCCGCCTCTTCCTCACCATTGCTGCCGCTTTCGACCTGGAAGTCCATCAGCTGGACATTTCCAACGCCTTCCTCAACGGCACTCTTGATGAAATTCTCTACATGATGCAGCCTCCCGGTTATGAGCTTCCGGCGGTCCATGGTTTTGAGCAAGTTTGTCTCTTGCACAAACCGTTGTACGGGTTGAAGCAAGCGCCGTGGTGCTGGTACCGCAAACTTCGTGAAGAGCTTGCTGCATTTCACCTTTTTGCTGCCCGTGCGGACCCCGGCCTCTTCATTGCTACTCCACAATCTCCTTATCGGCCTACAGCTGCATCTTTCTTCATGCTTCTCGTCTATGTTGACGACCTCATCATTCTTTCCTCCTCCTCTTCTCTTCTCTCCTCATTCAAGCGTGCCCTTTCATCTCGCTTCAAGCTTCGTGACCTCGGTCCTCTTTCCTACTACCTTCGCTTTCACATCACTCGTGATCGGACCTCACGCACTCTCCACCTTCATCAATCCAAATTCATCACCTCCATCTTAGACACCTACTCATTCACACCACTTAACCCTGCTGCCACCCCCATGGACACCAAGTTTCAGCCGCCCGTGACTTCCTCACCACACTCCTCCTCCTTTCCTTACACCTCGTTTGTCGGATCCATCATGTATGCCATGGTGGGTTCCCGTCCCGACCTCACATATAGCGCTGGAGTTCTTGCTCGTCACCTTCATGATTGGTCTACTCCTCACGTCTCGGCTGCCAAACGCGTTGCTTGCTACTTGAAAGGGACTACCTCACTCGTGCTTCTCCTTGGCGGCATTCCCAACACCCTTGAACTCCATGGGTGGTGTGACGCCTCTTGGGGACCGGAGGGCAAGCTCCGATGCTCCGTTACGAGCTACTTGTTCTTCCTCGGTCCGTCACTCATCTCTTGGCAGTCCAAACGTCAAGCTGTCGTCGCTACCTCCTCATGTGAAGCTGAATACTATTCTCTGGGCGCCGCGGTGCATGAGGCCTTATGGCATCGATCCCTCCTTACTGCACTTGGACTTCCCCCACCCGGCCCCACCCGCATCTCGTGTGACAACAGCGCCGCCATCATTCTGGCCAAGGACGACGGCGTCTTTCATCCCAAGGCCAAACACATCGACATCAAGCACCATTTCATTCATGATCATGTCGCCGACCACTCCGTCACCTTTCACTATGTTCCTACTCAAGACAACCTTGCTGACATTGGCACCAAACCTTTGCCCCGTGACCCTTTTCTACGCATCCGTGGTCTTCTCGGTCTCACCCATGTCTCCGCTTGAAGAACCCTACCCCGGGGACATCCTTGAGGGGGGGTGTTGTGCAGCAAATATGTCCCGGAGGGTAGATTCTCACCTGTGGTCTTAGAGGTTGTGGGTTCAATTCTCAGTAGCTGCAGGTTCCCTTCTCATTATGCTCCACATTACATGTCCACACTCTACCACACTCCACCACAGTGAAGTGTGGTCACAGCTGGCATTGCCACCTGTCCACTCATCCCACACTCACCTTGCTGGCCTCTATGGTGTGCCATATGCTGTCATGTGGGCTGTTGTTCCAGCCTGGCCCACATGTGCAACATGTGGCCTCACTTGCTAGCTTGGCAAGGTTGGCTAGCCTAGCCCTCAGCATTGAGGTGCTGCAGCTAGCCTCAAGAGTTCAGCCACATATATGTGGCTTCCCACTTCACTAGGGATTATCCTTGACAAGGACCTTGCTCTAGTCTTTAAGACTTGTACCATTTTCTTGCTAAGGAGATTTCTTCTTCCTATTGTGCCCTAAGTTCACCGATCCACTTTCTTCAGAGCCGTTGCCCGAGTCGAGGGCAGAGTAGCCGGCGTCACAGAGGCAGGTGAAGTTGGAGGGGGAGGCGGGGGCAGGCGGCACGCACTCCCCATGGCCGTCACACGGGCCGTTGTCCGTGATGCTGCAGAACGCTTGGCAGGCTGCCGTGCTGCGCTGGGTGGCGTTGGCTGCGCACTCCGCGTCCGGGCTGAGCGTCAGGCAGTTGCCCGCCGCACTCACCCTCGCCTCCTTTCCCGCCCCTGCCACCGAGTAATCTCGTACGGCAGTGAAGCTGCTGGCACATTTCCCAACAGCGCCGACGCCCATGTCCCCAAGGACCAGGTTGTTGGGCTTGGTGATGTTAGCGGGGCAGACCTGGCAGCCGGCAGCGAGGAGCAGGGCATCACCAAAGAAGAAGTTGTGAGCCAAGTTGATGAGCGCATCGCCATCCGCCACCATGCTCTTGAAGTTGTGGTTGATGCGCCCGTACAGGCTGTTGACGCTCACATCGGTGGGGGAAGAACAAGGGAGCAGGGGAGCAGGGGAAGGATCAATAGCTGTACTCACGCCCATCTAATTGTGAGCACAACAACCAATCCCCACTCAGCAACCATCCAAAGAGCACGCCCACACGTCAGCTGCTTGCATACACCTGAGCTGCAGAAGTGCATGAGAGACATACTGTGGTTGAACCTGAAGTCAGTAAAGAATTGATTTTCTCACATTTGATTGGCACACTTGTCGAAGATGCACTCTGGCAGGGGTCCATAGAGGTAGTTGTTGCTCATCATGCTGCCAGCACACAGCACACAGCACGCCACACAGCACACAGCACAGCATACAGCATACACCACACAGCACACAGCACACAGCACACAACACACGGCACACGGCACACGGCACACGGCACACAATGCAGCTGTAAATGTGTGAGACTAGATTCCACACAACACTCCCCCACCTCCCTCCCTAGGAGTAAATGTGTGGAGTGCTACAACTTGATCGTTGGGTGGTGTTTGCCACTCCTTGTTCACTCTACTGCAGTTCATTACATGCTGCATGACTCACAACCATGCAAGGACGACCCTTTTGTAGGAACTTAGCACTACAATCTATCACACATGCATAGCATGTGTCACATACAATTGACGTGGCAGGTTGGAGTCTATGTCAAAATTAGAAGAAGAAAGAGGATTGAACTAGCAAGAATGAGGATACAAATAGCAAACCCTAGAAGGGTTGTACTCGCTATAAAGCACCCCACTACAGGCTAGAACAATAAGATAATATTCTGACACACCCCCATAGCCAAAGTGGGGTGTAATCAGCAGAGCAGGCAAAGCAAAACAAGCTCAGGGTGGATCACAATGTCACCACACATTCTGAACACAAGTTCAAGAAGAAATAGTTTAGAGTTTACAATTATAAGCAAAGCTAGTGGTAGTCACAACGGGCAAGTGAGGAGGAGGAGGGAGAGTGAGGGGAGAGGAGACAGGAGGCGACGGCTGAAGCTGCAGACACACGGGCAACAGGAGGCAGACTGGCACAGCGGCTACCGGACAGCGCCCGGACTACAGGGGTAACAGGCCCCGCGGCTCAAATAGCGGCGGACGGGCAACGGACCCACGGGCGGCTGGCACAGCTGGCTACGACTGGGCTACCGGGACAGCGCCCCGGACTACAGATGCTGCTGATGACAAACTGGCAACCTCCGTTCATCCTCCCGCACACAGTCCCACCCCCCTGATACACACCCACTGCTACACCACTAGCTCTACTCCCACGCACCCCCCTAAAACCCTAAACCCCAGTCTCCCACACAACCACCCCACTCAGCGACAGCTGCAGCAGTGGGAGACGAAGGAGGAGGAGGAGAAAGGGAGGAAGGCACACCGGCCACCCCCATACCCGCCACCCCACAGCTCGCCCCTCCCATCGTCCGTCGTGGCGACCTGAGGGGGCCGCTTGCGGCCCCCGAAGGAGCCGCGACGGGCGACGGGAAATGGGGGAAGGGGAGAAAGGGGGGGGGGGGCCCACCACGGACCTGAGGGGAGGGCGGGGCCGCGACAAGGGGCGGGGCCGCGACGATCGGGGTGGGACCGCGACGTAGGGTGGGGCCGCGACAGGTCGGGGCCGCGAAGGTAGGGCGGGGCCGCATAGGGTCCGGGGCGGGGCCGCGACGTAGGGCGGGGCCGCTTCGAGGGGCGGGGCCGCGACGCAGGGGCGGGGCCGCGACGAGGGGCGGGGCCGCGACGGTCGGGGCGGGGCCGCGACGGAGGGGCGGGACCGCGACAGGTAGGGCGGGGCCAAGCCGGGCAGGCGCACGGGCGGCGACGGGCCGGGGCGGGGCCGCGACGAAGGGCGGGGCCGAGCCGGGCAGGCGCACGGGCGGCGACGGGCCGGGGCGGGGCCGCGACGTAGAGGAGAAGCCCGCCGCGCGCCCCGGGGCGCACAGCGGGCAATGAACCGCCGCGCGCCTCGGGGCGCACGGCGGGATGAAAAAGTAGCAGCGGAAGCAAGGTGGGGACACACCCACAGGATCGATCCAAGGGGATCGACCTGCTCTGATAGCATGTCAAAATTAGAAGAAGAAAGAGGATTGAACTAGCAAGAATGAGGATACAAATAGCAAACCCTAGAAGGGTTGTACTCGCTATAGAGCACCCCACTACAGGCTAGAACAATAAGATAATATTCTGACAGTCTAGTCTTGGTGCGCCGGCCTCTTCTCACTTCGCATGCTGAGGTCAACACCGTTTCTCCATTTTCACCACACTTACAATTAAGAATATGAGGTCATCACTGCTGGAAACCGTTGTCTCCTCGGCGCTTACCTTGCCGGCACATATGCTGTGCGAAAAATGCTCATGCAGCCTACCTAGTGCTCTGCTTGGGGCACATGTGCAACATGTGGCACCATTCTCTAGGCAGGCCAAGGCTTATAAACGCACGTAGCCAACGACCTCCAAAGCGGTGCTCCTCAAACATTTAAGTGCTTCACCTTCTACTTTCACGTACAACCCTACAGTGAAAGGAGGAGGAAGTATTGAAACATTGTGTGCCATGCGATGCGCCACAGCCACTCACATGCGTCACAGCCACTCACATGCGCCACAGCCACTCACATGCGCCACAGCCACTCACATGCGCCACAGCCACTCACATGCGCCACAGCCACTCACATGCGCCATGGCCACTCACATGCGCAACAGCCACTCACATGCGCCACAGCGACTCACATGCGCCAGAGCCACTCACATGCGCCACAGCCACTCACATGCGCCACAGCCACTCACATGCGCCACAGCCACTCACATGCGCCACAGCCACTCACATGCGCCACAGCCACTTACATGCGCCACAGCCACTCACATGCGCAACAGCCACTCACATGCGCCACAGCCACTCACATGCGCCATAGCCACTCACATGCGCCACAGCCACTCACATGCGCCACTGACACGCCATAGCCACTCACATGCGCCACAGCCACTCACATGCGTCATAGCCACTCACATGCGCCACAGCTACTCACATGCACCACAGCCACTCACATGCGCCACAGCCACTCACATGCGCCACAGCCACTCACATGCGCCATAGCTCGGGTAGCGAGCAGATTGCGGATGGCAGAGTGCCCTTGATGTTGTTGTTGTCCAGCCAGCTGCAGAGAGAAGGCGGGGTGGACAGAGATGGAATAGAAAGTGGGAAACCGTACATTGGGCACAAAGAGGCACAGACACAGACACAGAGAGAGATCGAGAGCGAGAGAAGTCCTAATCAGGGGCTCGCCACAGAGTGCGAGCCCTTCACACTCTGCCTGCATGCCGTCTGCCTATCTTCCCATCCGCCCTAGGTACTTACGGCCCTGTAGAGTTTACCTCCAGCGCGCATGACTCAGTTTTGGTCTTGGTTTTGCAATCGACGGCTTGCGCCGTCGGCCGAAGGCTGCGGGCGCTCGATAGCACAGCCGTTGGCCACACACGAGGCGACGACATAGCATTGGAGACATCACAATCTAACAAGCTCACACGAGAGATATCCGAGAAAGAAATCATGGACTGCGAATCCACGGCAGCTTGCCACCGCTGCTGCCACCGACTACATCATCCCCATCGCGCTGGTCCTTCCCAACAACTGCACCATGGTTTGATCAAGGAGACAGAGTGCTGACACGTAGCCGTCGACCACGTTTACAACTCAATGTGAACGAGCCAAACAGCCCATGTGCTCTCAAGTCAAGTACCTACCATCACCCCCTCCACCTCCTCATCCAACCCCAGCTCCCCCTTGGGTTCCCAGACCGCCCCTTCCAACTCATGATGTACCGACTCGCTAACAGCGTGGCGGCACTCTGCAGGACAGTTGCCCACTGCTGTCTATGCATTCTCCAACATACCCCGTGGTCACGACTCACGACCACCTCCACACACACCCGAGTGTGGCAGAGGGGAACGAGAAGGTCACCCGCCTCGACCACTGCTGAGGTTCTCTCAATAACTAGCAGGCCGGTGCCGACAGGGGGAATGCTCGGTTGATACCTCCTCCGCCATCCCCGCTGCGGCTGCCCCCCGCTGGCCAGGCGCCTCATGATCCCCTGGCTGGACGGGTGCCGGCTGTGTTGGACGCAGGGGCTGGGGCTGCGGTGGCGGATGCACCACCAACATGGCTGCCCTCACTTGCTGCGGGAGGAATTCGCTCCAATCTTTGCAGCCAGCATGAAAATAGGAGGGCCCACACCTGGAGCAGTGCACCACACCTAGAGCAGTGCACCACACCAGGAGCAGTGCACCACACCAGGAGCAGTGCACCACCCCAGGAGCAGTGCACCACACCAGGAGCAGTGCACCACACCAGGAGCAGTGCACCACCCCAGGAGCAGTGCACCACACCAGGAGCAGTGCACCACACCAGGAGCAGTGCACCACACCAGGAGCAGTGCACCACACCAGGAGCAGTGCACCACACCAGGAGTAGTGCACCACCCCAGGAGCAGTGCACCACACCAGGAGCAGTGCACCACACCAGGAGCAGTGCACCACACCAGGAGCAGTGCACCACACCAGGAGCAGTGCACCACACCAGGAGCAGTGCACCACACCAGGAGCAGTGCACCACACCAGGAGCAGTGCACCACACCAGGAGCAGTGCACCACATCTCCGCAGCCGCATGCGGAGGGGGTCCAGCTGGCGCTGAGGCGGCGGTGGCACCGCAGGAGGGCATGCCAAAAAATCAAGGGGCGGAGGAGAATCTGCCCCGCATGCTCACGCAGCCTAGCCGCTTGGTGCCGTGGCATTTTCCGGATCGTGGCTGGAATCTCCGCACACGCAGTGGCCGTGCCTGCTGCAGCAACTCATGCTGGCCACTGTGACTCTGCCCTCCCCAAGTCCGCCATACTGGAGGAGAGTCCCACGGCCACGGCAAACCTGGTCAAAGGGAAGGGAGAGAGCCACGGTGGGTGGGACTCACGTCGTAGAGGCTCCACGTGCTGCGCTGCGCCACTTGATGGCTCAGCTCGGCCCACAGTGCAGGTGACAGCGACAGCCTCCAATGGGACAGGTTCACCATGCGCTCGCCATGCGCTCAGAAGGGCGACCTCCCCCAGCTCCGAGTCCACAAGCACTTCATAGCCTGCTGGTGGTCTCCAACAACGCCTACAACAGCCTCAATGTTGGTCCTTAATATAATAGAACTCCGCCCTGCATTCTCGCCTCCCCAGTACCACCACATCCACCCTAAAGTGGATCCAGACCCACTAGCTCCCTAGGTACCCAGCCATTACCCGACGGAACCTCTGCCACCTCCTAGCCAGTTGCAGAACGGAGTTGGTGGTGCAGGTATGAGCGGCATGGCTTTCGAATACCTACATGATGCCGCCTCATGCACCCAGACATTGGAGTGCACTTGTTAGCACTTGTGAACACCGCACTCGCTGGCAAACTTAATTCTCATCGCGTGAAATTATTGACAGCGTCTTTACTCCTCTGCTGCGCGAAACCCTAGGGAGGGGTCCGACCAATGGCCCGGAGGAGCGATGGGTCACATATGGCTACCAGCAAAGCCTTCAACGCACTCGACAGAGAGGCCAGTTGTGTTACGGCCTCCGCCAGCAAGAAGTGCCACCATGCTGTTCGCGATCTGGTGCAGCCACACGGACTTGCTGATCCCACTTGCAGCCTCCTCGTACGACCGCCACTCTCGGCTGCTAATCCAACAGTCAGGGAGCTGAGAGCGTGTGGTCTACTGCCATGCAGCTCCGGAAGAAAACGGGCCGGTTGTTACTCACATCTCGCCGCCGCTCGGGCCAAAAATTACAAGTACCGCACAACCGCACGGCGGCATGGGTGGGTGGCATTATTCTTTGCCATGAACGTGGCAACTTTTACAGCTCATACAGTGTGCTAGAGTTTTTCCAAGGTTGTGATGTGCCACACCCTTCTTTTCCATGCTGAGCCCAGGTCTCGTGAGGAAGGGAAAAAAATTCAACTTCAGGCAGCAAGGGCGCTCACAGCTGCTCGAGCTTCTCCAGGCGACTGATGGCAGCCGGCAGACTGCCACTCAGACGGTTGTTGGCGAGGTAACTGCAGGGGTGACGGCAGGCAGGAAGGATGGTGATAACACACATCGTTGAGATGCATGGAAGGCGAGAATAGCTGGTGGAAAAGCGTGGAATGAGGGAGAGCCGTGAGCAAGCAGACGAGAAGTGGACACTCGATGCAGAGGAGGCAACAAGCTCTCAAGAGGGCACTTGAGTTGAGTTTAGCTCACAGGGAAGCTAGATTCGTCATGCTGAAGATGGCCGATGGAATGGAGCCGTTCAGCTGATTGTTGTTGAGGATGCTGCATGCATAGGTGAGATGCGATGCCATAGGAACGGGAGCACAGGTGAGGTGAGTAGATGCTATGGAGTGAAGAATGCCTGCATGCTACCGAACTGTACCACAGGTTACAAGGACGCGAAGGATAGAGATCAGGTACACGGTATTATTACACATGCAGTGCAGTTGGATTGGATTGGATGAGTGGGTGCCAGCAGGGGTAGCTCACATGCCATTGAGAGAGGTGAGGGTGGAGATGGAGTCAGGAATGGACCCTGTGAAGTTGTTGTGGTTGAGGGTCCTGCCCACCACCACCCACACATAACAGACAGCATGGGGCATAGATACAGAGTTAGGGGTGATACTAACAAGGTTTAGTAGATGTGAATGGGCGAACAACAGCCAGAATGTGAAAAGAAAAGGAAGGGAGACAACGAATTTGCATCTGAGAGCTTGAAAGAGGGGAGCTCAGCAGCGAAGATGATACTATTTCTCAAACACCCCTATTCAAGGCGCATCTTGTATGCTAGGTTGACGAAGTAAGACAGAAATTGGGAATGTAGACGGTAACACAGGACCCCGTAACCCCAACAAAAGGCTGTGCCAATGGTCACTAGAGAAGCTGGTCCGTGATAGTAAAAGCTGCATTGCCAGGCTGGCAATCTGGGACAACCAGTTCGCCGCTCCTCTGCAGCAGCCCTCAACCTTAGCTTCCCAGAAAAGTCACACCAGCACTTCACCCGCCACATGCTACGGTGCCCTGAGACCCCGAGAGGGTGCGTGCCTGGCAAAGCACTCGGATTCCGCAACAGGATGGGATCTGCTCCTCTTTATCCCCCGCCGTACACATTGGCTCTCACCAGAATGACCTCAATGTAAGGCGGTGACACAATGCCTGTAAGAATCTCGAAAGAGCGAATGGGATGCCAGCATCGAAGCAATGACCTCCCACGGCAAGCCATGGCTGGAGGAGCACCTTTGCCCTTGCCCGCCTTTGCTCTGTGAGAGGAGAGACTGAGATCGCCAAGAAGTCTCTCTGAGCTTTCAAAACTGTGACAACAACCTTCCCGTCCATGCTCCACTTGGCATACCAAGCTGTGACAACAACCTTCCCGTCCATGCTCCACTTGGCATACCAAGCTGTGACAACAACCTTCCCGTCCATGCTCCACTTGGCATACGCGTACATCGACTGCACACGTATCTTTTGTCTATGTGGACCAGACGACTGTACTGCGCCACCAAGGAACACCTCAACAGCTCGGCGCCAAGTTCCGCTCAGGAACGTGTGTCACCTGGTCCTGGACGCGATCACTTGAGAGAGAACGAGAGAGGAGAGAGAGAGACGCACAGGCGTTCGAGGTTGACATGCCAGAGAGAGAAGTCAGGTAAATGACCTGTGAAGCCGTTTCCTGCCAGGTTACTGCACGGTGGGCAGGGGGCAGACGGCACAACAAGGCAGCATAGTAAGCAGCAGCGTAGATGTAAGATCCAGGAACATCACTTGAGCATACTGACAAGCGACGTGAGACAGAGCTGGTGCCACACACAGTGTTTTCAGGGAGTTGGAAGCCTTGAGAGACGTTGGAAGGCCTCCCGAGAGGAAGTTGTTGGCCACTTGCCTGCAGCAGAGGGGTGAGGTGTGGGGGAGAAGGGGGGCTAGCACGGTAATTAAAGCCAGAAATCGCCTGCAAATAGCATGCATAGGAAGCCTGAAAATGCAGGCTGGGGCCGCAGATTTGTTACGGCATGGAGCTAAAGGCAAGCAAGAAAGAAGAATGAATGAGGCAAGCGAGAAAATTAGATGCAACAGGGTGTGTTGAGGGCAAGGCAATAGGGGCGCTCACAGTGAGTTGAGCAAGGGGAGGTGGAAGAGGCCAGGTGGGATAACTCCTCGGAACATGTTGTCACTCAGATTACTGACAGCAGCAACCTCAAGGGCGAGAAGGAGGCGACAGATGATCATGAGCTGCTAGTTGTGTATGATGAAATTGCTTCAAACTCGTCCCCATACAACATGGTCGCCTCCTGAGTGATTACACAGCCTCATTCATCCCGTTCCGACCCTTTCTCGCACTCATGCCATGGCACTTCCATGGCTGTGTGTGTGTGTGTGTGTGTGTGTGTGTGTGTGTGCGTGCGTGCGTGCGTGCGTGTGTGTGTGTGTGTGTGTGTGTGCGCGCGCGCTTTGGGTGCAGCCAGCAGGTGACACAACTTCGAGGTGACTTTTGAGTCGACTCAAAAGTCGCACTCCCACGGCTGCATGTGTGTGTGCTTTGGCTGCAGGCAGCAGGCAAGAGGCAAGCAGGGGTGCGACTCACATATCTCCCAGGCTGACAAGCTCTGTGAATCGGTTGGGGATGAACCCGGTAAAACTGTTGTTGCTCAAATTCCTGCAGCAAGTACCATGGCCACAGGAAGCGGCGACAATGGCAGCCCATCCTCAGACGAGTTCTGAGGCGCCTCAAAAATTAAATATACTCATCAGATGCCTTTGGGAGAGGCATAGCCTTTGGGAAGGACAAGTTTTACATCCACAGAAACTGCCGGTGGCTTCGGAAACAACACTGATTCTGTGTGTACGTGCTTTGGTGACCTGAAGGAGCTCTTGACAGCCTCCTCGGGTTAGGTGCTCCTCTTACAGAACTTCGAGGCCTGTGTTGCTCAGAAGTGGCTCGGGGAAGGATCCTGTGAAGTGGTTGTTCTGGATGCTTCTGAAGGGCGAGGGGGAGTTGAATCAAACGATGGGCGAATGCACATACAAATGGCAACACACTTGCATAAGCTTTCTCAAAACGTAGGTATGTATGTATGCACTCATGGACGCATGCACCCACCCTTAAGTGGAGCGAATGCATGTACGAATGCAACCCATCACACATGGGAAAGAAGAAACACTCATCTCCACCGCCTTCGTAAGCCATGAGATACACAGAATCGTACCTGCAGGTGAGCATCCATGCATGCTATTGCCATTGCCATGGATGGACAATCTCTTCATACCTCCCTATTTGTAATCCAATCTTCTTGACTAGAATAGAACTTCCAAAGTGATGCTGAATTCTGGACACATACTCAGTCATGTACCGTTGGTATACCAGACAGGAAGAAAGGAAGCGCTACGCAGCAATACAATCCGAACATGACTCACATGGATGTAAGGCCCTTGATAGCAGCAAAGGACACAGGTAGCACACCGGAGAAGATGTTTGTATGGAGGTCTCTGCGCGGATTGGATTGAACGGGGTCAGTTGGACTTGAACAGAGGCCGACACATGAAGGAGAGCCACAGCAGCTAAGCAGGGAGGGAGGGAAGGGGGAGGAACGTGAAGGCAGGCAGGCGGTGAATAGTGAGCAAGTGACTGTGCTCACATGTCTGTGAGCCATGTCATCTGAGCCACCACGTCCAGGCCTGAGCTGAGGCTGTTGTTGGACACGATCCTGTGGGATTTGTGTGCACGAGCGCACGGCAGAAGGGAATTAGTACGAACAACGGCTGTGGTAGACAAATGTAGGGTTGGCTGTGGACAGTAAGTGAGAGCAGAGCAACGTACATACTTAGCGGTTTCAATGAGCATGCCTTCAGGCTTGGGCTACAGGCAGCAGCACAGCAGAGTGCCATGGTAAGAAAGCAAAGCTGCAGATGAGTTAAGATGCGCCTTCGGTGTTTCTTCGTGTTGGCTTGGGCTTCAGACAGCTCAGCACAGTGGGATGGCAAGAAGGCAAAGTGTAGATGGCATTTAAGTGAGA